GTAAAAAACTACCGGATATATTAAAAGTGTCGATAAATTAATATAAGTATCGATACTTTCGTAATTTAAAAGAGAAGAAATTATAAAGCCTAAAAAGTGTCGATACTTTATGAAAATGTATCGATCCATAACAATATAATAAGTAAAAATATAACAAAACCGGTATCAAAATGATAAAACCGGTAAAGCGCTACTGGTTATGTTGAAAGTATTGGTACTTTAATAAGTACGCGTAAAAAAGTATCGACACTTTAAAAGAAATAGGTAAATATCCTATCGAAAGTATCGACACTTCACATAAAAGTATCGACACTTAGGTAATTGTATCGATTAAATATAAATAACATATTCGGTGTAAATATAAAGGCATAGCTAAATTTCCTCTGAAAATAGATAGAGTTTTTGAAATCGAAGCGTAATTGTTGATGCATCTCAGAAGACATTTCTACGTTGAAGTTTGTTTGTTTGTTGTTGCATTTTAAATCGAAAGGTACGTTGTTGAAACCCTAGTTTTTTATTATTACAGTAATTAGGCGTTTTCTCGGTTGGCTTAACATTGTCTGCATCAGTATAATCCATGGCAAAAGTTTTGTTGTGCAATTTCAATGGTCCCAACAGGAGTTGATGGAGATGTATGTAAGTAAAGGTTCATTGAACAACATGTTTCAGTGGTGCTTTCAATAGGATGTGGTATTAGTAGTGGTAGTAGTTGAAGGGTGGATACAACATTAAATTTGCACGACATATTCAGGTATGTACAATAACTACAGAATTCAATAACTTTAAAGTAATAGGTAAAATTACAATGTAGGTGGTAAAATTAGACTATTTTAATGACAAATAATTATAATGTAATAGGTAAATTGACAATGTAACTAGTATACATATACCGTTTAATTATAAAACATGTTAACATAAAGTATCGACACTATTAGATTTTGTGTCAATACATTTATAACAAGTATCGATCCCAAAATCAAAGAGACCGATAATTATAATGTAATAGGTAAATTTCCAATGTAACCGGTAAAAATATACCGGGTTCATGAGAGAATGGGTCAACATAAAGTATCGACACTTTTTTAATTTGTGTCGATACGTTTTTCCAAAATGAATGGCAAACGAGGTGTACGCATAAAGTGTCGATACATTCGTAAAAAGTATTGATCCTCGAAACATCGAAATCGATAATTATTATATAACAGGTAAATTTACAATGTAACCGGTTAAAATATACCGGTTAATTAGCAAATAGGTCTACATTATATATCGATACTCTTTAAATATGTGTCGATATTTTTTTTCCAAAATAAAGCACAAACGAGTTGCACGCATAAAGTGTCGATACATTTAAAATTGTATCGATCCCGAAAACATCGAAACCGATATACATAATGTAATAGGTCAATTTATAATGTAACCGGTTTAAATTTACCGATTTTATGAGAAAATAGGTCAATATAAGCGCTACCTATTACATTATATAAGCGCTACCTAATTTGTTATTGTACTTGATAATATTTCCGGTTAAATGCCTATTTTATTATATAAGCGCTACCTATTACATTATATAAGCGCTACCTAATATGTTATTGTGCTTGATAATATTTCTAGTTAAATGATATAATATAACCGATCTAAATTTTAACTGGTCACGCCATTTTTTAACTGTACCCTCTCCCTCTGCAAAAGAGACAACGAAAATGATCTTGGCAGAGCCCCAACGGCCTCCATCGTGTACTCCCTCGTGCATGCACATTAAAGAAAGAAGCGATTTAAAAGGGTCAACAACACATAATAAGGGGAGGAAAAAATCAAAAAAGGGGGATTCGATCAAAAAAAGGGGGAGCATTCATCAACAAAAGAAACCAGAGAGAGCCATTTTAAGAGAAAAAAAAATGGGAGCTTGGAGAACAACCAAAAAAATCAAACAAAATACCCAGAGAGAGCAACAATTTGAAAAACGAAGGAGTCCATAGCCAAACCAGAGAGATTTCAGTCGAAATGAGCGGATCTCGCGACTAAGGAAAGAATGAAAAAGGGAAAAGAGAGAGAAGGGGGCTTATCTGATTCAACGGTCATCGGATAGTTGGAGAATCATCGGAAATCGAAGAAGTTGAGGGGGTTTTCTTAGATTCGCGGCGTTTGGGCCTTTTAATTTTTAGAGCAATCGGGCCCCAGATTTGTACTCGGGAGACGGAGAGGCTTCAAGCGGTGGTCATTTCCTTCCTGTCCGGCGTTGGCGAGCGGTGGTATATGTCGTCCAGCGGCGGTCTTCGCGGCGGAGACTCATTGGAGTCTGAAAAGTTAAAAACGCCGGTTTTATAAAATAGTCTTCAAATCTCTCTTTTTTTTGTGAAAAGCGGCGGGGGAGGTTGAAAATGATTTATAGGGTTATTGAACCCAAAAGCAAGCTTTTAAACAACCTGTTAAGCGGCGCCGTTTTGGGTGTCTGGGAGCCCATCTTCTTGAAAAAGTGATATCTGCGCGTATAGTCCTTGCAATGTTTGTAATCTTCTCAATTAGTCACTGAATTAAGTTCTTTATTTTAGATTTCGAGCTTTTTATTTACATTTCGTCTTGTTCTTTGTATTACGTTTTTATTTTATCGTTTCTCATCTTGAATGCCTATATCTTAAACAATTTATTTTTTGATCCTCTGTCTTTTCTATGTTTATTATTTTCCCTATTAGTTTCTGTTTTTATTAATTAGGTTACTACATTTTATAATTTGGTTGGTCATGTGTGTGTAGTTTTTATCTCTACTCTATCACAATGCATATTATCTTTTCTAGTTCGTAGTATTTTTCATGCTATTGTAACTTGATACACGCATGTGTTTGGTTTTTCATATAATAATTTTATTGTGTTTTGAGGTGGTATTTTAGCGTTGATTGGTTGGTCATATCATCCGCATATATGTGTGTGTACAAAAATATGTTTTGTTTACAACATATTTTATTAAACTCTACTGTAAATATTTTTCAACATTATTTCATGTGGATAATCTATGAAAAAGTCTCCAAAATATAATGAAAGCATGTTTCCGAGGATTATTCACACAAAAGGGTCACCTTTTATTCTATGTTTTAGATAATTAAGATAATAATCTTTATTCGGGGAATCTATGGAAAAGTCTCCCGAATACAAAGGACGTGTGTTTTTGATGATTATTCGTATAAGAGATCATAATTTAAATACTAATTTAAATTTACAATTCTCAAACATAAAAATGATGTATAATCAGTTAGGTATCAATTCTGGATGTTGTGGGGGTGTTCACCTTTCCCCACGCGTAATCGACTCCTAAACCCCATTTTAAAATGAATTTCTGATTCAACGCAGTCTGGTTTCTTTTTTTTTCCTTTAATTTAATTTTTCTAAAATTATTTTAAAGGGTAAATTTTTTAAGTATTCGACCTACTTAACTCAAATGCTGATGACAACTCCAAATTTGTTTTCTAAACCTAAGTTTTAAAATTAAACTGGTTCGATCCCATTCCAGCCTTAAAAAGCTTAAAGAATCCCGAAATGAGCATCCTTTCTCAACCATACTTGATATCTTATTCTCCTCTTGCACTAGGATGCTCACCACCCTCCTTTTATTTGAAATATGAAGCTTCAAAAAGAAAGAAGGATGAAGAAAAATAGGGAAAAATGAAGAATCGAGGGAGAAATAAAAGCTCCCAACTTTTACCCTAAACCCCACGTCCAAGCATGTGATAAAATTTCAAATAATCATCCTCATTTTCATAAATAGGATAGTTACACTTTTGGTTCTTTATCTTTTGCCACTAATGCAAAAATCCCTTTTTTATGACCAATCGAGCTCAATTTACATGCAATTAAACCCCCACTCAACCCAACGACTTCAATTACGAACTTCAAGTGATCCACATACCTCTCAAATTAACCCGAAACTACTAACACATAATTTGAGGTGTTATAAAAGTATTTAATAATTAATTTAATAATAAATATATTTAATTAATTAATATAAAAATATTTTTTTAAGTTAATATGTATAAAATATTATGAATTTAAGTATTTATACACTAAGGTATAAAATATAGGGTAAACTATACCAGTGATCAACTAACTATAGCCCTTTTTCATTTTAACCGCTATTTTTGAATTCTTGTCAAACAGGCCACACAACTATTTAAATGCATTCAATCAGACTATCTGTCGTTAAAATTTAATGGAAGTGTTGATGTGACATTTAATAAAATTGATATAATTACACATTTGGTCACTATTGCTTATATATTCTCTCAATTCGATCCTAATTTTAATAAATTAAAATAAATTTAATCTTTGAATCAGATCATGCAATGTGACACTTGTTGGGTTCTGGGGTCCAGCGATCACCCTTAGGGATTCTATCGTGTATGGGCGCGATATCGGTGCGAGACTGCCCAACCTGTCGAGGCCCACGTGTGCCTTGCGAAGCCCCTAGGCCCGCTCGCAGCACGCTATAGATGCGGGGCTCTACAATGCCGTGGTGAATTGTGGGGGTGCCCCACAAGAATCCACCTTGGCTTGAGAGAACCCAGTGATCACCCACTACAAAGATATGAGGTTAAAATGACCCACCTACTTATCACCAATTGGTTTTAAGAAGGAATGGTAACCATTCACTTCAGAACTCTGTGGTTAAGCATGCTTGGACTAGGGAAATCCAAGGATAGGTGACCCACTGGGAAGTTGTTCAGAAATGAATGACTCGATCCTAACAACACTAATACCAAATATCATGACATGTGTTGCCACTCGATTAGAGGATTTAATTTATTTTAATTTAATATATTTAATTTTCACCAATCAGAGGGTGACACATGTCACCCTCTAGTGGGAATAAAATTAAAAAATTGTCAAGGGGGATTGGGAGTCGAACCAAAAACCCTTAGGCCCTGTTTAGTTCATGGAATATTTCATTCATGGGAGTAATCTTTTTTTCCGGGTTAAAAATACCCACTTTTGGATGGTCACATTCCCAAATGAGGGTAAAAACTGAATAACAACAGTGGCATATTTTTCTTGTTTTACTGGGAATGTTAATCCCCCATCTCCCTTAGATATTTGTTTATTCTCGTCCCCGTTCTCTGAAATACCCTTCTCCCCGCTTGCTTCTGGCTGAAACAAAATCTTCTTCTTCTTCGATTTGGCGAGAGTTGTTGCGAGGAGCTGTCCATTACTGCTTTGGTTCCCGTTTTCATTTCCTAGCCTGGGTTTCTTTGGTTCCCGATTTCATTTCCCTCGGTGGCTTCGTTTCTCATTTCATTTTCCGTAGAGAGCTTCAAGTAATGTTCTTTGAACTAGGCCTAGTAATATCTCAGTTCATCAATGAACTCATCAAAAAATCTGTTCAACAAGCTCGGCCCGAAACATGTGCTCTTTTAGAAATATGTGATTCTCACAATTGGCCTTCGAGCCACTCCCAATACATGTTCTTTTTCACCGTTTACTTCACTCTCTTGACTTGCAAAGGGATTGGTGGGATTTGCAAAGCCATGGCGACCAAGAGTAGCTGATTCAATAGCAACACATTGGGTATGGAACAATTTTGTCATTCTTTTCAGTTTTATGTTCAAGCTCTTTATCTATATGTGGAATTTTCCTTGAATCTTTTAGGCATTCAATTATAATACGGATCAAACATTTTTTCTCTTTTGTACTAATAGATTACAGATGTTGGGGTTCGAATTTTGAATTCGTTAGATGTCACATTCTAAGGTTGTTTGCATGAAGTGCTATAGGATTCATGGATCAAGCACCTTTTATTTTTTTGGTACAAATAGATAAGGGAAGCATCATAGATATTGGTATTCGAATTTTGAACTTATTGAATGTAGTCTTAAGGGTAGTGGCATGAACTAATTGAGTTGTTAGTTGAAGTGATAATAGCCTCAACCCCCATAAGGATGAGGAAACAAGTTCCAATCCTTGGAAGTGCACTTGTTGGGAGTGCTTTACCTTCAAACACTCTCGGCCAGACTGGGATTAGTTTTCTACTTTCAAGTCCAATGTGGCTTGGGGACACCCTGAGTTAATACACACACAAAATATCGAAGTTAAATGTGCATTTTACAAGATTATGCATTTCTTTTTATCTTCCTTTTGATTTTCCACTCTATCGAATGTAAATTACATTTTCCTTTCAAATATTTTCCCTATTTCAACTTTTCATTTTATCATCATTTCCACTTTATGAAGCAAAAGCCTTAACGAATGATGATCCTTATTTTTGTTTGAATGGTAATCCAACGAATGTTCTTTGAAATTTGAACATGAGTACCAACCACCAAGTATTGGTCTTTTCATTAAAAGGGAGACCTTTTACTTCAAAATATCTTTGTTAGCTTTCAATTATTAGTGAATAATAAGTTTTGAAGGAGTCATATTAGTTTTTTTTACCATGCGGGATATTGTTTTTATCTAATCTGACTATGGTGCTTTTCGAATGAAGCTTTTACGTTGTCTTGTATGTTCAATATGGTATGATTAACTTTAGGAGTGTGATCGTTAGAACAACGGAGTAACGAGATGAATGTGGAATGATTAAATGTATTATGACTGGTTAAGGTTATCACGATTATGAAATAGAATAAATCCTGTAAATGGTTTCAGTCAGTTCGATAAATTGATTAGTATCACATAGGAAAGGTGGAAGCTTTTTATGTAGTTTGAGTTTATAGTAAAACACTGTAATTGGGAAAATGGACTTTGGTTCTGAATAGAGTTGATACTTCCATTGCATGAATCATGATCCTATGACACCTCTCTTCAATTGAGTAGTATGCAGTTTTTGTTATAACACCTTTGGAAGGTTTATGACATTAATCCTTGTTGTTTTTACGGAAGATCAGGTTAGAACAGTCCAAGTATTTTGAGTACAATGAAAATATTTTATTATGTTTTGGAGTTCCAATGTTGAATTAGAATATCTTGTTGTTCTTGATTCCTCTGTTATTTCCTTTTCTGGTTGAATGTCCGTGATGGTGCTCAGTGCACTTATTGCTCTTTAAGGTCCTGGACTCTTGCAAATCTATTTCTGAGGTTCCTTCAGTTCTAAGGTTTTGTCTATGTTTATTTTTAGAGTTCATATTTTATGCACTGATTGTAGGTATATACACTTTCAGTGTGTCAAATGATGTTATCTCATTAAAAGTTTTGAGAAACAGGTATAGATAATTTTATTTTCAAGGATGAATCATGATTTATTTCATTGACAGTGTTAAGATCTGTACACTGTATGTGGATTGAATGTAACTCATTTTCCAATAACCTTTGTTCAACCAAATTGATTTAACAAATTCATGAAGAAAACTTGATGCTTACGTTTTTGTCTTGAACCATGATGTGGATATCTTGTGTCATTTCACTGAAATAAACTCTATACAATAGTTTTCATTTAAAATTTTTTATTTTCAGTTTCAAGCTTTTGGTGATTGCATCATGTATATGTATTTTTGTTGCCTTTAAGTGCCTTCAAAAATACAGAAGATATCCATGTATGAGAAAGATGTTTTTAGTTCTTTACTGTGTGCCATTAGAATGTTGAATTTGGTCCTTTCTTACCTGCTTCCTCCTCTCTTCTACTATTGTTAACAATGACATTTGGGTTTTCCATAATCCAGACTCTGCGAACATCATTCTTGTTGGATATGACAAAGAGACAGGCCCATCTATGTACTATATGGACTACATTGCTACACATCATAAGGTTGATAAATGCATGATCAAGATCACATCAAGACTGGTCGTGGCTCCTCCAAACTTTGTCATCAAGATCGTCGACAAGGATGGAGCAAGAGAGTATGCCTGGTGTGAATCTGTTAAGGATAATGCCATTGCTTCAGCCTCAAGATATTTTCCGTGGGCTTGCTCTTCTGTTATGAACGTTTAATTTGCATGTATTGATAGGGGAAAAAACCTATTTACATATTGACTTGATTATGTTCTGAAGTGGAAAAAGATTTGGAAATTTGATGATACTTTTTATCATTGTTTGCAATGATCATTATGATGATTACACCATGCTAACTATCGATTCATTTCGAGTTCAAGAAATGATGTGCTCTCTCGATCTATGGATGAATATGATATGATTCTTTTTCTATTTGTTGCAGACATTCAGATTTGAACATTGTGCCAGTTCATAGGGACCTTAATTTTTTCCCCATATTTATGGCTTAATTGCGGCGGAAGAAGAAAATTAAGATAATATATTATCTAAGAATCATTTGAATTAAATTTTGATTTTTTTGGATAATTATTAAATTACACATTAATTTTGTTAAATGCGTAAGTAATACATAAATATTAATTATGTACCAAAACAAATACATAAATATTAATTTATAATTTTATATAATAATATATATAATTTTGATTTTTGTTTAATTGTATATATAAAATTTTAATTTAATTATACACATTTAAAATGTAAATGCATTCACTTATAATAAAGTCATCTTTCTACATTTTGGTAGGAGTCAAATAGTTCATCTATTAAAATGTTCATATGCTTATTTAGTTAAATGTTGATGTAAAATTTTAATATATTTTTAGATAAATTATATAAAATTTAATATTAATTAAAATTAAAATAATACATGATATATTTACTCTTTTATTCTACCAATTTATATATAATTTTTATAAAAAATTACATATAAATTTTATTAAAAGTATATATATTAAAAATAATAAAGTAATATATTCTCGATGAATTTTTATATAAATATTTAGAATTCCACTTGTTAAAAAATATAGATCAAGGACAATTTCGTTAATATACATTCTAGTAATATTTTATTCCTTCAACCAAACACTGTAATCTTACATTCCTGCCAAACAAACCAAACACAGTAATGTAATATTCCCAGTAATGTGTTAGGTAATGTTACATTCCGATAATTCTATTCCCGGAGATAATCTCACATTCCGTGAACCAAACGCACCCTTAAGGAAGAGAGGAAAAGCCCAACCACTAGGCCAAGTTCATTTTTTGGTTTAAATTAGACTACATATTATATACATCTTGTTTCCTAATATAATCTTAAATTCTTAACTATAAAAATATATATTTTATTATTTTTTTCTTAATTTATTGAATATATATTTTTGGTTTAAAGTAGGTCAAGTTTATTATTATTTTTATTTAAAATCACATCTTAATATTAAAAAAATATATTATTTTTTCTTAATTTATCGAATATATTTTATTCTTATCTTAACTAGAAGATATATTTTAATCTTATCTTAAACTTATAAATTATATTTTATTCTTATTTTAATTTAAGAAATATATTTTTATTTTTATCTTAATTATAAAAAATATTTTATCTTAATTTTCAAATATTATAAGAATAAAATTTAAATATTTAAGTTAAGATAAAAAATATTTAATATTATGAATTTAAGATTATACTAAGAAACAAGATATATACAATATGTAATCTATTTTAAATTAAAAAATGTACTTAGCCTATTGGTTGGGCTTCTCCTTTCTCCCCAAGGGTTACTAGTTCAAATCTCTTGTCCTCATTTACAATTCTTAATTTTTGACGATTTAATTTATTAAAAATAGGACCAGATTGAGAAAATATATAAGTAACAATGACCAAATGTGTAATTATATCAATTTTATTAAATGCCACGTCAGCACCTCCATTAAATGTTAACGGCAAGTTACCTGATTGAATGCATTTAAATAGTTGGGTGGTCTGATTGATAAAAATTCAAAAATAGTGGTCAAAATGAAAAGGGGCTATAGTGGGTTGTCGCTCGTATAGTTTATCCTAAAATATATATATATCATGTTATCTATTTTAATTTATTAAAAATAAGATGAAATTGAGAAAATATATAAAAAAATAGGGACCAAATATGTGATTATACCAAAATACTACGTTACATAATCCGTCAACTGTTAACGACAATTAACTCGTGATAATCACATCTTAATAAATAAAAAAAGGAAGTGATCATATATTAATTAAATAAAAACGAAAATGATCATATATTATATTTTTTTAAATCAGTGAAGAACAATAGACAAAACACAAGAATAAATGATGTAGCATGTAATGTAGTTAGTCCTAAAACTAATCGAAGATTCAATCTAATTTAAAGATTACACACTAAACCAAATAAAGGGAAAAAAAAGGTATTTTGAAATACCTCAATTTCATGTTATAGTTTTCTTTTCTTCCTTTTGGGAAAGCTTACCAAATGTCGAACCTTGTACAAAGTGAAACGTGACAAAAGCTCCTAACCATTTTGGACACATAACGTTATCTATACGTGAGAATGCTCCATTGGTTCGGTTATTGATTCGTATAAATTAATCAAATTTTTATTTTCAGTTATTAATCGAATAATACGAACTAAATTTTAATAGAAATTTGAAATTATTTTATCAACTAAAAACATCCAACTCAAATATAGAGGTACACTAACGACTTCTTTCCGAATCTTTAAAAAATTCTCATTATCACAACTTGGTAAATCAAGTCTTGGACGAAGA